ACTCAATCAAACTAAAACAGAGTTATTACAATACAGAAATCATCAATCTTCAATCTTCAATACTCTAAGTCTTTAAGCTCTTGGATCATCATCAAAATCAACATTCTTCATGATCATTATTTGCAACAGCAAGTCCTTGAATGTTCAACAGCCATGGCCCCCCTTAATTACTAAGAAGATCCGCCACTGCAAGTTACATTGATTAAAATACTGACAAAATACTTTTCAAAATTTCTCAAGTGATTTTAATCAATTATTTCAAAGTTATATCGATTAAAATACTGATAGAACACTTTTCAAAACTTCTCAAGTGATTTTAATTGATTAATTCAAAGTTACATTAGTTAAAATGCTGACAAAAGGTTTTCAAAGACTTCTTTAATGAAAATAATCGATTAATTCGAATGTGCATCGACTAAAACAGTGACAGCATATGTTTTAAGTGGTTTTGATCAATTATTTTAAAAATACATCAGTTAAAACTTTGTCAGGAATGTTTCCAGCTGATTTTAATCGATTAATCTTAAAGTGTATCAGTTAATTTCAAGTCTTAAGAACATATTAATCGATTTAAATAGGTTTTTAACAGATTAAAACAGTTAGGGACATTTTTAATTCTTTCAAATGATGAAACCTCATGTAGCAGAAAAGAATGAATGATTATACCTATTAATATTGATGCAGACTCACTAATCACTACACCCTTTAACCAAGAGATCTTTTGACTTCATCAAATCTTCAAGATCTTCAATTAACATAGAGTTCAATAAGATCTTCATCACTATCAGTCTCCCCCTATTTGATGAAGACAAACACCTCTTTTGAATTACTTTGAATGATCTTGATCTGCAAAAGAAATCACTTGGATATACTTTGTATTAAATTCTCCACCTTTGACTTCATCAAAAATAGGGAAAGAAGGGGTTTGAAACAAGCATTCGCATAATATAAGAGAAGTTCATACCAACTTGTGAAATTAATTGATGTAAATCATGTTTTGATCGATTAAAACATAAATGATAGATGTACAGTTTTGAAAACCTAGAGCTTTTAATCGATTAATTTGTAAAATAATAGATTAAAATAGTACGGATAGTGTATTTGAAATTCTCTGTTAATGGATTTAATCGATTAAGACAATTTTATACTAATTAAAATGATCATAATATGTGAATTTATGTAATGTTTGATGCATCTAGAAACCCTAATTCAGTTATGATTAATAATAAGGGTTCAAAGTGTATACTAGTTAAAAAAAATATTACAAACCCAAAAAAAAAAGGTAAAAAAATTGTGATAGAGAGAAAGACCCTTCTTGGTGAAATCAATCATCCTAATTCCCTTGATTCAATTGCATATCCTTCATTTTGGTATAAAGATCAGCAATTTGATTCCCAAGGTTGGAGAATTGAGCATTGGTTTGCTGGAAGTGTTGGTATGTCATCTACATATGTCTGCGCTGATTTTCTTGCAGTGCTGCCATTTGTGAGAGCGTGGTTTGCTCAAATTGAGAGAGAGGAGTCCCACGGTCAGGTTGAGCACAAAAGGGTAGAATCTCTATGTTCTCAAACGGTGGGGTGATCTTCAGTTGATTGGGGAACCTCAGCAGCTAGAGGAGAAGGAATTTCAGCATGGCCAGGTTCTTCTTCGACTTCATCCTCATCCTCTAACATCCCAGCTTCAGTTTTGGAGATCCAATCCCCATCAATTTTGATAAATCCCATCTTCCTCAGAGTAGCATCATCAATTTCATTGGATGCCTTTGGAGTCTCCACATACTCTTCTGATAATTCCACTGCAAAATATCTAAAAAATTTATTAATTAACATAGCATAAGGTAATCTATAATCACACAACCTCTTTACTTTAATCATGTGATTCTTGATGACATAAACCCAATTAACCCGAATACTATTTGATATGCAGTACATGAGTGCTAAATCCCCTTCATTGAGCAAAGCATGATTGCTCCCCCTAGGTGTGAGCATCCATGCAATGATGAAAGCTAGCAGCCTCTGTTCTAGCCTTATTTTACTAGCATTTAAGATCCTGACCGAGTCATTGTGATCTTTAAGGCAAGAACGAAAAAATTATATTTTATTGAAATCTGGAAATTCAGAAATGTTCCCTCTAGATACTTTGACACCAACATCCCGGAGTCTAACAACTTGTTTCCATACCATAGGGGTAATCACCATGTTGACACCTTTAACTTGTGATCTGATGGTGGAGTCATCGACAGAGAGACTTGCATAGAAGACTCTCACAAGGTCTGGTTGGGTATGGCCCATGTACTCCAAAAAAGTCTTTAGCTTCTAACTCTTTAGTTGCCTTCTCGGAGGAGTGAAGCCTTTATCATCAAGCCATGTAAACCGAATATATTTTGGAATAAAGAAATGCTTTTGACTGAAATTGGTGATGAAATTATTCATCTTTTTAATATCTCCATTAAACCAATTTTCAAGATGACCTTCTTGATTTGCAGCAGCAGAGGAGGATTCCCCTTTTTGCCCTTTTCTGCTAGATTTTGATCTCTTGAACATTTTCAGCCAAAATTTCAAATAAAATATTGATTTGTTTGAAGAGAAGAAGGAGAATTGATTTAAGAAGATGAAGAAAAAACTAAATATGATAAAGATGAAGAACCTAGTTTTAAAAGAAAAGCAGAGACAAATATTGAAGGATTTTTTTTTTAAGTCTCAAAGTTAGTCAATGTGGTCTGTTTGAGTTTCTAGCTTTATCAGTTTGTTGTGTTCCCTTGAACGAATACAAAGGTACAAGTATCAAATAATGGGTGTGCAGAATACATAAGCTATTTTGTTCTTTGAAGAGATAAGGGTTGACTGGTCAACAGTTCTGTTTAAAATTGCAGAGAACAGATCTTGATTTTTAATTCTTGACAGATTTCCAAAATCCTGTAATTAAAATACTCTGAAACAACTTCCAAGAACGAACTAATTGATTAATTACCAATTTAATCAATTAATTTGATCAGGATCAATCGTTAGAAATAACAAGACAAAATAATAATCGATTAAAGCAGAAAAGAATCGATTAATTTTGTACTAGATATGGTTAGTGAAATAATACCAGAATATTAATTGATTGAAAGAATGTAAATCATTTTTAATCGATTAAAACAAAAATGATAAGCATATACTGAAATCCTGAGAACTTTTTAATCAATTAATTTGTATGATAATCGATTAAAATAGTACGGATAATTTTTTGAAATTCTCTATAAGTGGATTTAACCGATTATTTTGAGAAATTAATCGATTAAAAGTGAATGACTCAGTATTTTAATCGATTAAAAACTATTTTATATCAGTTAATTTTATCAGTTCATGATTTTTTTTAAACATTTTTCATATTTAGAATATCTAGTTGTCGTATAGATACCAAAAGATGTTCAAATGTCTGTTCCTGCAAAAGAAATTAGCAAGATTTGGTACCCTTTGAGGATAATAGTGTCTTATCAAGTTATTTGTAATGATTTCTTAGGAATCCACTTCATTCTTCCTTTTAGAATAACATATTTTTAATTCTACAGTATTTTACAGAATGACCTCTCTTCATGCAATAGAAACATGTAATAGATGATGATGATGATGATGAGATAAATTTTCTATATGAAAAATGATTTTTTATCTTTCTGGTTTTCTTGCTAATGATAGGTGTAAATCCAATTCCAGCACGATCAATAACAAGTTTTTGAGAACCAAGAAGAATATCAAGATTAACTTTACCTTGTGTAAACTTTGAAACAATTTTTAATAGATATTCAATTTTCTTTTGTGAATTTGGATATTTTTCACAAGGTTTGATTTTATTACACAAGCAATCAAAATTATCATAAATTATTTTCAAATAATCAGAGTCAGTTTCATCCTCAAGTATTTTCTTTTCAAGAGAGCTAACTTTATTCTCTAACCAGTTATTCATGCCTTTTAATTTGTTGTTTTCTTTTTCAAGTTTCTTTGCTTCTTCATGCATTTCATTAAAGGCATCTTGTAATGAGCTATAATTCATGAAAGTAGAGGAATTAGAACTTACACTGCTGGTTTGATAATTCAGATTGGTCATCAAGCAAAGATTTGCTTCTTCTTCATTAAAATTTTCTATTGATGAAGTGTCATTTTCATCCCAAGCAATATATACTCTCTTTTTCATCTTTTCTTCCTTCTTGTCATGATACTTGATTTTCTCAGGACATTCCATTCTCACATGCCCCTGCTTACCACATCCATAACATTTATAATTGATGAAATCAGATTTCTTTCCATACCTTTTCTGTCTATCTTTATCTTGGATCTTCTTCTTGAGAAATTTGTTGAACTTTTTGACAAGTAGACCAAAATCTTCACTTTCTTCTTCTGATACTTTTCCTGTATCTTCTGCTTTCAAGTCTATACTTTTTCCTTTCTTTTTAGAAATTCCTTGCTCATTAAATCTTAATATTTCCATTTCATGTTCTCTTAGCTTTCCAAATAACGAAATTGTAGTCCTGATGGATAAATCTTTCGATTCTGAAATAGCTGTGACCTTGGGCTGCCAAGACTTGTCAAGACATTTTAATACTTTGACATTTAACTCTTCTTTATAAAAAATCTTACCAAGTCCCATGAGGTGATTTATGATGTGGGTAAAACGTTTCTGAACATCTGCAATGCTTTCTCCAAATTTCATTTTGAATAATTCATATTCTCTTATGAGAGTATGTTTCCTGACTCTTTTACATCAGTTGTTCCTTCATGAGTTACCTTCAGAACCTCCCACATTTCCTTGGCAAATTGGCATTGAGACACCCTGAAAAATTCATCCATGTTAAGAGTAGATGTAATAATGTTCTTAGCAGTGCAAACATTTTGAACTTTTTTTCTTTTCATCATCATTCAAACTGAACCATTTTTTTTCTATAATAAGAGGACCTTTTTCAATTACATCCTAGATATTCCTATCAATGGATTCAATAAAGATCTTCTTCCTAATCTTCCAAAATGGATAATCTGTACCACAAAACATTGGAGGTATGTTTATAGAAGCACTCTTAGAAAAAGGTAATTTATTTTCAGCCATTGAAAAATTTTTAGGATCGAAAGTCTTGAGTGATTTTCAAGACCTTGCTATTGATACCAATTGTTAGAATTGTAGGCTGAGATCAAGAGGTGGGATGAATTGATCTTTTAAAACTTTTTTGCACTTTATGGATACAAATTATCTATTTCAAAAGATTAAGAAGTTTGACCAATAATTGATCCAAGAAATACAAGAAGAATTGAATAAGGCACAAGCAAAATTAAAGAGTGTGAAGGAATGAGAAAAGAAACACAAGAATTATACTGTTTCACCCAAACCACAGGGCTACATCCATTTCTCAATCAAATTATAGTTGAGTTTCACTAGATTGATACTGTTTTGAATACAAACCAGAATTACAAAACACTCAACCTACACCACGAACCAATTTCTAATTCTTAAACCAAACCTTCACCATGAACCAAGTTCCAGTTCTTGAACCAACCTGTAACCAAATTCCAGTTACAAAACCAATGCCCAAATCTTCCAGACACCCACACAATACAAATATGAATTAACGAAAACAAAGAGAAGAAACTAGAACAACCAAACCCAGTTATGCAGATGTAATTCTTCCTCTACAAAATGAGTTTCTTCACATGCAAGAATGCAAAAATGCCTCAAGAAAGAACTCTGAAAAACTTCATAAAAACTAGCGCACTTCTTCCTTGAAAAGATCTATATTGATTGCTTGATTGATATCTCAAAGATATATTTAAAATTTTGAAGCAAATATGTTTATATAGAGACTTTTTCTAACTAACTCGTTTAATTAATCGGTTAAAACTTCTTTTAATCGTGTTGGTAATGCAGTCGTACCACAAGCACACTTGTTCATTTACGTGATTTTTTTTTTAAGTTATCTAAATTGGTAATTTTGTTTAAAATTGCACTTTTGATGCTTTTTCCAATAATAAACTAATAAGAACATAAGTAAATAAAATAAAATAAAAAATACATATTATAAGATTGGAGAGGTACATCTCGCTGATTCCATTTTGATTTCATGTTACACCATATTCCAGCTTATAATTGACTATCTCACTGACTCGATCATTCACTCCACTCGCCTCAAGTTCATTCATCAACGCTCTGAGATGCAGCAGCAAGCAGTGGAGCATCTCGACGTTCTCACCGAAACTGGTCTTAAAACTGGCGTTTCCAAGCCCAGGTAAACGCGAACTCAATCGCTCTTCGCCTTACTTCCTAAAATTCGCGTGCGTAATAGCAACGCTTTCATTTGTGATCAGGGGAGACGTGCATCGCGACGGCGACTACCACCGCGCCGTTCACGTGTGGGTATTTGCGGAGCGGACGCAGGAGCTGCTCCTACAACGCCGCGCGTCGTGCAAGGACTCGTGGCCTGATCTTTGGGACATCTCCAGCGCCGGTCACATTTCCGCCGGCGATTCGTCGCTCACCACTGCTAGGTATTCTGCATTGTCAAGTTACCATTTCTTTTCGTGTTTGGTTGGAGGGAGCACAGAGCTTGCATACCGTAACAAACGTTCTGCCATTGCTGCTTTTTAATCAGAATTAGAGTTTCATCTCCATAATCACTGCAGCAAACTATTTCTTTAAATTTCGTGGCGTATTACTGTGTTAAACTTCGAATCTCGTTGGAGAACATTAGTTTTGTCGCTGGGGAAAACTTTTTTCTGTTATTTATTTATTTATTTTCAGTTTGTCCAGTGTTTTAAGAATTTGGAGAGGAAATGGTGAAATAAAAATTGAATATTTTTTATAGTTTTTGTTTTCCGATTTAACCTTTTTCTGTATAAAGTTCCGAGAATACAACGTGAAGACAGGAAATGCTTTTCTAACCAAATGACTCCTCTAGTATTGAGTGGATTGAAGCTAGTTTAAGTTGGATCAATGGGAAAATTGAGTAACATACAAGTGAAACCGTCAAACCCAAAACCTTGAAGATTGTGTCATTTTCTCTGCCGTCGACTTTTGTGTCCTGTTGATGAATACTTCCCTTGTCCCTTCAAAAATACTCAAGAGTGTGGACTACAGGACTAGTCCGTCTGGTGTTGGATGATATGAAAAAGTAGGTTTAGTTATTTTGTCTTTAGCCTGCTAATTTAGTTACTGCGTGTTTGGATTTGTGAATGGTGTACGATGGGATTCAATCGAAGCAACTCTTAATTGCTTTCTTTCTTAAAGGTGTTGAGGGTTTAAGAATGGATTATGAGTATAATTTTCTAAACATGAGGTGTTTGCAATGAGTGGTAAACTTATGCGAAGTCATTGTAGTTACTTATTTCTTTTTAATCACCAAATTAGATTATTCAGAAATGTTAGCAGAGAGAGATTGCATTACTAATCAAGTCTATGGTGCTGTTGTTTGACTGATTTTTTAGGAGGGAGCTTGAAGAAGAGTTGGGTGTAATCCTTCCTAAGGATGCATTCGAATTGTTATTTGTGTACCTCCAACACAGGTAACTAGTATATGATGTATTTCTGTATTTTGGAAAAGTATTAAAGGCTTGTTTTTATTTTTATTTAATGTTCTATTTATTTCATAATTATCATTTTATAAATGCTACTACATTGCTTTCATGCTGTTTTCTATTTGTGTAGTTTTTTTTTTTCCGTTTTCTTCTCACACAAGTTTGAAAATTGAATGTAAAGAAGGGGATATTTTATGATTATATCACTATTGAAAATATATGAACTGAAAATTAAAATTGAAAGAGAAAGTAAACTCCCTCTGATTTTCCTTAAAAGTTAAGCGTTTGTGTTTCTTTTATTATGTGCTTACAGGATTTTCATCTTCAACTGATGTATTAATCTCCTATTTTATCTATGGACTAGCTGATGTTATCTTTAAATATGGAATGCAGTGTCATAAACGATGGAAAATACATAAATAATGAATTTAATGATGTGTATCTGGTAACAACACTTGATCCTATACCAATGGAAGCTTTTGCACTTCAGGTAAGGATGTGTAAGTTGTTTCAACTTGGACATATTAGATCTGCTTGAGAAACATAATAGATAACCTTTATTCAACCATGGAGCTAGCCTTTACGGATTTTCATCATTTGACAAATTTAGCTTGTTTTAGAAGTGTTAGAATTCCATTTGAAGGTATGACATTTGTTATCACTGCATATTTTTTTATGATTTAATTTTAATTTAAAGTTTATGTTTTGTAATACATGATTTGAGTCTAATTACTGAATTTGTATACTGTGAACTTGAGTTTTTCTGGTCATACCTGCTTTTTGGACGTCAATTTATGTTTTTTAATACTGTCTTAGTGATTGAATTTAGCGTAATATGTGAATTGTTGGTTATAATTCTTTTGATTAGATTGTTTCTTTTAAATAGCTCTTTGGTACATGGGAATTACTTTTAAATATCTGGTGGCAGGAATGCTTGGCTAGAAGGAAGTAAATCCATGAAATTCTAGTTCAAAAGAAAATATTTATAACATCAGTAATATGGGTGTCAAGATAGGCTTAGTCTAATAGCTAGTTCGAAAGGCTTGAGGAATACCGGGTTAGACAAAAAAATATGGTTTAAATTGAATCAGAACTATTTTGTCCCAGCTTGTTTAGGTTATGACTTACATGGGTTTAAGTCAGGTTAGTCACTAGGTTTATGAGTTGGCCCATTTTATAGAATAATAATAATTTTATATATAAAAATAAAATAATATTATTTTATTAAAAAATATATGTATTATAAATTAATTTGATAAGGGATTCACTTATCTTGAGAGTAAATATAAGAAGTCTCTCACATCCACTTATTTCACGATCTAATGATTAAGATGAATTATTATTTTAGATCAATAAATCACTACAAAAAATGACTGATGCATAAAGAGATATGTGTAACTTGCACACTGAACCAGACTCCCCTTGAGCAACAAAGCCAGGAAGTTGCTCTATATAAATCTCTTCCTTAAGGTCACCATGAAGAAAGACATTTTTAATGTTCAGTTGGTGAAGGGGCCAATGATGAATCGCAGCCATAGCAAGGAAAAGACAAGTAGTGAAAATCTTAGCTACTGGAGAGAAGGTATCACAATAGTCGAGACCATAAATTTGAGTGTAGCCTTTAGCTACTAAACGAGCTTTAAGACAATCCACTTTACCATTATTATCAACTTTAATTGCATAGACCCACCTACATCCCACAACCTTTTTGCCAGGAGGAAGAGGAACAAACTCCCTAGTGTCATTGTGCTCAAGTGCCTGCATTTCATCAATCATGGCTTGTCGCCATCTAGGGTGATCAAGTGCCTTATGAACATTATTAGGATTAGACGTATTAGCCAAAGAGACAACAAAAGAAGAATATGAAGGAGACAGATGATGGTAACTTAAAAAATTATAAATAGGAAAGGGATTGCGAGTGAAATGAGCACCTTTTCTAAGTGCAATAGGCTAGCGAAAATCAGAAGTGGGAGGTAAGGTTGAAGGACCCATGGTATGAGAAACTGATGGAGACAGATCTGAATCGCAATTATTTGTAGGAACAGGTAAAGGTATAAGAGGTGAATCGTTATGACCTGTAGACTGAATTGGGAAAGAAACAGGTATTATAAGTAGATCATATGAAGTATAGGCAGAACTTGTTGAATTGATGAACCATCTTCCATTGGGGAAGAAAAGAAGGGTGTTTCCTCAAAGAAGGTGACATCGGTAGATATATAATACCTTTTGGAAAATGGAGAATAACATTTATACCCTTTCTGAAGGCGAGAGTACCCCAAGAAAACACATCTAATGGCTTTAACACTTAGTTTATCAAGTCCTAGAGATACATTGTGAACAAAACAAGTACAACCAAATACACGAGGAGATACATGGAAAAGAGGATGATCCGGGAAGATAAGAGAATGTGGAATTTGATTTTTAAGAAAGGAAGATGACATCCGATTAATAAAAAAAACAAGCAATGAGAACTGCATCTCCCCAATGATGAATAGAGACATTAGCATTCAACATTAGAGAGCGTGCAGTCTCGATAAGGTGTCTATTTTTTCTTTCTGCAATGCCATTTTGCTGTGGGGTGTAAGGACAAGTTGATTGATGTAATATTCCTTGGGAAGGTAAAAAGAAGAAAAGGAGGCAGATAAATGTTCTTTGGCATTATCATTTCTGAGAACTTTAATTATCTTCCCAAATTGATATTAAATTTCATTGATAAAGGACACAAAAATGGACAAAAGTTCAGATCTGTCTTTCATCAAATAAACCCAAGTACATCTAGAAAATTCATCAATAAAGGTCACAAAATACCGAAAGCCAAAAGAAAAAACAAACTTGGTCCCCAAACATCAGAATGAATATTTGAAAAAGGAAAATTACATTGAGTTTTAGACTGTTTAAGAAAAGTAGACCTAATATGTTTTCCTAATTGACAAGATTCACACTCTAAAACCCGAAGATGTTGAAGATTAGGAGTCATTACTTTCGACTTAGATAGACTTGGGTGATCTAGACGATCATGCAAAAGTTTAGGAGCACCAGAAACCAAACAAGACACTGAAGGACTTGGTTTTTAGATAGTACAGACCACGTGATTTATGTTCTTCTCCAATCAGACGACCCGTATCATGTTCCTGAATAACAAAAAAATTGGAAGTAAAGGTTACAGAACAATTCAAAGAACGAGTAAGTTGACTTAGAGAGATCAAGTTATAAGGGCAATTAGGAATGAAAATAACAGAATTTAAATTTAGAGATAGAGTTAAAGGAACTTGGCCAACACCTTAAAATTTCACTTTGGATCCATTAGCTACAGTGATTAAGTGAGGAATTTTAGGATAGGACATGAAGGAAAACGATGAACTATTACCAGATATATGATCAGAGACACCTGAATCAAGAATCCATGGGTTATGACTTTCCACATATTGAGAAATGCATGTAGTTGAAACACTTGGCATTGAAGAGGATTGACCCTGACTGTTAAACTTTCCATATTTAAACTTCAAAAACTCCTGATACTCCTCATCAGAAATCTTCATATCTGGATCTGAACCAGAAAAGATGAATAAAGCCAATGAATAGGGTTACCCAAGGGACTTTTCATACATAGTTCTCAAATCAGAAAATTAAGGGCATCACTGGACTTGGAGGATGCCGGCGAGTCGAACGGAGGTGGTCAACCTTGATTTCGGTCACTAGAAGGCGGTGCGTGGGACACATGCGCCTGAGAGGGTTCACCGGGATGACTGCGCATGGGGTAGCTGACGGAGAAGAGACTTCCAGGGGTGGTTCGCGCTCCTCGAGGGGAGCAAAACCCCTCCTTTGCCGGTCCAAACAGAGATGGTGGCTGGAGGTGACGATGGCGGACGACGGCTAACGGCGGCAGGAGATGATAAAGGCGACCGAAAATCAGTGCGGGATCTTACCCACTCTGATACTAACTTGAGAAAACTTATTTAGGGTTTGATACAGTGACCAAAGGTATTGATACATTGTATTTATAGAAAAAGGGTACAATAGAGAGGATATGAGCCTCGACCCAAACCCTTAACCCTAGTCTAAGGAATATTGAAAAAGAATACTAAAAAATACATAAACAACAGATCTCAATAATAATAAAGAGTAACTTTTAATTTTTATTTTGAGACTAAATGAATCTCTTCTCTTATAATTTATATATTAAATCAATATATTTGAAATAAAAATTAATTTTATTAATATTATTTAAATTTAAAATATATTTTTAATTTTTACTTAAACATTTATTTTGTATAGACACATTAATAATTTTTTAAAGTTTTTAATTAGGCCAAAATTCCGTTAGTCCATTGATTTTAACTAATGTTAGGCTAGGCAAAAAATTATGACCCATTTAAAAATATAGGTTAGACTGGACTATTAATTTTCCGTAAGGTCAGATTGGGCTAAACCGTTTGTTTTGACAGCTCCAAGTAACATAAATGGCTAACATCTTTGGTGGAGTTCAATCAAACAATTTTGACCTAACAACAAGAATAATGCAATAGATCATTCAGAGTGATGCGATTTCATTGATTATATATTTTTATTACTTTCACTTTGATTAATGTTTTTCTATCTGTTATGTGATTGAATTCCATTAGATGCATTGATATCATTATAATTCTCAGGGTGGTTGTTTATAAGTCAATAATGGGTTAGCAGTATGTACCTCTCCATGATTGATTGTAGACAAATGATTTTTAATTGATGTGATAATCTAATTCCTTTGCTTTCATGTCCTTAATGTCTTTTTTAGGTGCATGCATCATTTATATTATATTAATTCTCATGATCTGTTTTGAGTGGATCTTGTTTCATTCGCAGGAATCAGAGGTCTCAGCTGTTAAATATATTTCTTATGAAGAGTATAAAAGGTTACTAGATAAAGAAGATCCAGAGTATGTCCCTTATGATGTAAATGAACAGTATGGTCAACTCTTTGGTATAATTGAAAAGAGGTATGTTATTATTTAAAAGAGGTATACTTTTATTAAGTTTTGAATATAAAAAATCTTATATGTGAAATAAAACCAATTGGAAAAAGTATTATTATTCTTGTTTGATTCCTTGTGCAAGCATAAAACCCCACTCCTGGTTCAAATGCCCATGTCTTTCTAATTTCTCCCTTTTTAACATAAAATTTATTCAATAGAAAAGAAGTGTGTTACAACTAGGAAGAGGATGAGATATCCTCTATAACAAAAAATAAAACAATTTGGTTTAATGCAAATTGATTTTAAGATTAAATCTAACACATATCTCTCTAGACTCCGATGCCCATATTTCAGGGCAAGTAAATTTGTAGCTGTGCATATTTGTCCAATCCTAACCTGATTTTGATAAGGAAGACCCACTTTGATTGGGTTTAAGGTTGGATTTTTGGTTGGTAAAAGCAAAGTCTGTTTGGTCGAGGGATCTTACTCTCCAACATCCTTGTTGTAATGCATATATTTTTTATACTTCCATTACAATTTATTTATTTTTGTTACAATGCTCACTAGAGTCAAACTTTAACTTGGTCCATCTCCACTTTGTTGCCATGCCTAGCAACATTTACCTTAACAATTTCATGTTCTTGTTAGATGTTGTTGAAAGTCCCACATCGCCTACCTCATATCATTTGGTATGGTTTAAATACATGTTAGGCTACTCCACATATTGCCAATTGGTTTTATGTTGGAACCTTAACATGGTATCAGAGCCAAAGCCTAACATCTTTCCGGTTATTGTCATGGGCCAAAAGTTGCCCTTTAGTTGGGTCAAAAGTACCCTTTGCCTGGTCCGGCAAGCTTCGTTGGAGGGGGTGTGTTGAAAGTCCCACATCGCCTACCTCATATCATTTGGTATGGTTTAAATACATGTTAGGCTACTCCACATATTGCCAATTGGTTTTATGTTGGAACCTTAACAGATGTAATGGGTTTAGGCCCA